CTTGAGTGAAAAACTCCCGACAGTTGATTGACTCGAATCACTATTTCATTTTACTAACTCCAACTGCCGCATTGTTTTATGGTGGACAACTCGAGTCGATTCATTTTTGTTTTGATTAGTTTCTATTTCTTCATTTTTAGTAGGCAAGCTCGTATCGAATGGCCTGACATCATTTTTTTAGGTCGTGAGGCCAGTTTGGTTTAGGCTATTTTATTTTTTCTTGCATACACTAGACTTTAAGATGGAAAAATCACGAGCAGAATAACGAAAAACTGAAATGTTCATTTCATTTGATATTATCAAATGAAAGTTGATTATTGCAGTAAAATTTCGTCTCTAAAATACTCATGATAATTTTGAAAATCAAAAATAAGAATCGCCGTATTTGAGTATGTTATTAAAGTTTTATTTTTTTAATTTGTTCTGGTAGATGTAGAATTTTGATTCAAGCAGTAAAGACGCTCTTCAATTAGTGATTTTTGTTCAATTTTCAAACACATTCGCAATGAAATATGAGAAATATGAAAAATGTGAAATGATAGTATGTTTTATACAAACCGGAAAAAGCAGTAAGCAATTTGTATCACGAGAGGTATCCAGAGAGAAGACAACTTTTTAGTACATTTTCGCAAGATTGCGACACAACCTAACTGATGGTGGTCAATTTGAAAAAAAAGACCAGTACAATTCTTATACTTGGGCACAACAAAATCCCAATTGTCACCCATTTTTGGCTGCAAGTTTTGGTACTAATTGAAAGAGGCAGTGATGCAAAGTTTTGCTTCTCTCACTCCTATGAACTAATAAATTAGGCAAAAAACGTTTAGAAAAGGTATCGCCTATATGTAAAAGAAGCTGGTAGACATTTCGAACACCTTCTCTGAAGAAATATATTTCATTATTATTGTTGAAGTTTCATATATCAGTAGTAAATATAGTATAAATTGTTTACTAAAACTATGCGTCTTGATTACTGTTGTGAAAAGCTTTCTCAACATTTGTTATTTCATCGCCGCATCGTCCAAAGCCTACTTGATCAAAGTGTACGTTTCAAAGTCTACATAAAAAAACCTAAGAGCTCTATATTTCAAAGATGACTCTAGCAAAACATCAAGTGTGCTACATTTTCAGAAAAGTAATTTTGAGCTCTGTTGAAATGTGCAGGAATATATAGGGTGTCTCATTAAAACAAATAGCTTTCCATCAATAACTATTATTGATATCTCATTCGAAAAAAATTAATTTTTTACACCATTGAATTCTACGTACAAATTGCTACGTAAATGTTTTCATAGAAACGAGAAATTTTCGACAGGAATAAAGTTGCAGCAACTTTTCGAAAATGTACATTCTCCCTTTTTCTGAATTTTTATCACCTTAGTATATAGTATTGGATAGTATCTATGAGTTCTATCGAGCACTTTGATCTCTTTGTACCTTCTCTAATTGAAGTCTGACGATTTTTTCTGTAGTGTCAAAAATGTATCCCAGATATTTCTCAAAAATTTTGCTGACACGGTCGAAGTCGCAATTCACGATCATTCCACTCCATCCCATTTGTAGGTTAGATCAGATTTTTCATACTATTCTGTCAAAAAAAAATCCTAGTGTTAGTTGTTATTCTTGGTTCAGCTTGGTTGTACTATGGCAATGATAAAAGGTTCTTTTTGAACTCAAGGTTGACCTACATCAATTCCACAATTCGATGAGGAACTTTAGGTATTTACAAAGTTAGTTCAAGATGATTAATGAAATATGGAGATTAGATTTTCATGGGTTTTTATAACAAGCATTCTCATTTAATACATCTTCCGTTGGAAAGGTTTTCCTTAAAATCAGAACTCACTTGAATTTGAATATAAAATCTTATCTCTCCAGTGAATTTCATTCAGTTGAATATCCAACATAAAACAACTGCTGTATTAATTCTCCTGTAAAATTATTTTTGAAAAGTTTGTCGATTCATCAATGAACCTACTGTCGATAAACAATCAGTTCTTGAAACAGTGTTCTTGAAATATAACTTTGTCTCCTGTGATCTACCTCTGTCTCGGGGTACCGATTGGTGAAGTGAAATCAGAAGTGAAATACCTTGCTTTTATTCTCTCTATTTTCTCCGATTTGGATATGCTCGCCGGTGATCATTTCAATTATCCTAATAAGCACTTATTACTGTTTGAATAAGAGGCTTCAGGATATATTTCCAATGGAATTCTAGAGAGCTTAGCTGCTATTATTATAAACCCGTTGCTGTTCGATGACGACTTGTTGATATGTTTCATAATTCGGAATTATCGAATACGGATAATACCAAAAGTGATATATGACAACTTGATAGGTAAAAATTGAAAGCATGACTTCAAAAGTGTTCTTACGTAACTATATTAGCATACAATAAATTATAGATTCCTCATATACTATAGAACTGAGCACAGCAGGAAACTAGAAAGATTGTGTTACCTCATTCATTATTTATATAATAGTTATCAATGATGTTTTCATTGGGTCGGTCCTAATGTCATGTAATCCGTCTATTGCGTACACATCTTCAAGGATTCAAATCCTGTCATATGTCTTAAAATACCTTGTTTTTATGCTTAACGAACCGGTAATGTACACCATGTTACATAGGCGTCGATGGTGGAAAGGCTCAAGTTGTGATACCAAATGCCAAATATACATTATATTTAGTGCGTACGATCCTAAATCACATTTGAGACCCAAAGTGAAATGAAAGTGATTGTTATTTGTTAACAACTACTTAAGAATTTTGACTGTTTGAGTTATTGTCGTTATTTGAGGAAAATAGCATTTCGTATTTCTGGTTAGTTGTATCGCAAGAAACTTATAAATACTAGTACTAGAGCTACTAAACTCATTTATAGGAACACGGATGAACTGGACGTCAAAGACAAATATCATTCATCCCAACCACTAACACAGCTTATATGCTAACTCAAAATTCAATGTGTCCAGCTGACTGGAACGATTATTGCCATCTCAAAACTGTAGCATTTTATTATTAGGGGTTCCTTATTCATATGCAGGTGAAGAAGACGTTTTTGGGTCCAGATTACCAACGCCGATCGATTATATTTTAGTCTAACAATTTTCAATTGAAGGTAACTCATATACAAATTGAACTGAGAGCTAACGGCAACAATGTTAAATGTTAGAACTAAATTCTTACCGGGGTCATTTTTATTGTCTATGACAATAATATACAACATGTCCAAAATAAAGAGGGCTAGTGTAGGAAAATCGGAAGCCGTAAGAGATAAAAAGTCGTCAGTTAAATCATACACAAGGAGCTCATTCGAATGACATTTTAAAATCAACGAAGTGAACGATTATGGTGATACATCCGGAAAGTTGTCATCAAAGAGTTTAACAGATAATTCTTTTTCGGCCCATACAAAATATTGAAATGTCAGTATATAATGTCAATATAAAAATCTGTAAACCCCATATTGTACAGTTTAAAAGTGTTTTTCGTTTTTCAATATCCGAAAATGGCAAATTTCGGTTCTTTCCGAACTTCTCCTCAAACTAATCGGAATTTCATACATTTTTAAACGTCATTTGAATGAATTCTAAAATGGGTAACTTTTTTCTGTTTTCTTTGTATCTCTCCCGGTTTCCGATTTTCTTATGCTAGCCCTTCTTATCTTTGACACAGAGTATATAATCTACTGCATAATTAAAAAAAAATACTTGAAATGTTATGTATGTCTCAATGGGCATTGTTTCATTATAATTTGGCGATATCTGGACAGAAAATATTCCAAAAAGAATCCTCTGAAAGTGTTATCCAATATTGACCACGACTGATTTCTAGACATATTTTATTTTTCTACTATAAAAACTACTGTTAGACGATAATTTCTCGTTACTCATGAGAAGTTCGCAAAAAATCCCAGCATTGAAGTTTGAAGTTCACAACTTCTCAGCATTATCAACAACAAGGGATGAATCAGTAGTCCATAAAAATGGATTCCAAATATATGATTGTTATTTATTTGGTTAGTTCTAGGGCTCTGAAGAAGTCACAAGAAGTTGTGCTGATATAAAATGATGATACTATTTCTCTTACTGATCTCGAATGAATATAATAATAACTATTCATTAATAAAAAATGTTACCATACATTTGATATACAGGAATGAATATGGAAGTTACAGTGCTTAGGAGGGATATTAGTAACGTACTTATTGATTTACAAAATAACAACATAAACAAGTATTCTATGCTTCAAATTACTTAAGCTGAATGAAATACCTTAAAGATACAGGTACCCAAAAAACACATAAAAATAAAGAAGAAAATAAAGATTATTTTCTCCCTCAACATCCTATAGATTATTTTAGTAGTACAAGGTAGGCTAAATATTGATTTGAGCATGTGAATGTAATGGTTTCCCAATACAACAATAGGAGTCAATGAGGTACATAATTTTATTCTCCAATAACCACTATAAAATCATAACTGAACTAAGATTCTACTGAAGTAAAATACATTTCTTGATGAGATCCATATTTATCGAATATCGAATTTGTCAGAATAGGTAGATAATACACTCCTCACTTTCGCATGGGAAGTATTTCACATGTAAATGATTGTGAAGTTGATTATGCAGCTTTCGCCATGATGAGATTATTAATTTTGAAATTTAAGTGAAACTCATTTGAGCTATATTGAAAAGATCTGTCTAGTAATTTGCATGACAAAAAATCTCAAAATCATCGGCAAAAAATCATCATCTGATCCTCAATAAGAGACCTTATACTGTACTTTGTAGCACATCATAGTTTCAAAGTGACCCAAGATTTCTTGAATTTCAACACAGCACACATGAGCTTTGCAACTGTTTAGTGAGTTTAAAAAAAACTGTCTATCTATCTGTACCAAAAGCTTTAGCCACAAGGTATTTACATATGTTAAAGAAAATTTACATATCTTGATAATTGTTGCACCAAATTTTAGATTCTTCTTCTTTCCAGAAAAAACAACAACAACAACTTTACGAAGAGGCTGAGGAGAGTCTGCCACCTGCTGAAGAAATTGAAAGTGACCGTCAACAACGTGTCTATCGTGGACAACCTCTTACAATAGGGCAAGTGCAGAGAGATAGGGATGGAATAAGATATTCCAATGCGATATCTGTGAGTAGATTTTCAACATTTTGAGTAGTGTTAGAGTACTGATTATAAATTGTGATGTTGATACTTAAAAAAATCACAAAAAACTGGAATTTGATAATGGATGATTTTAAAGAACCTATGCAAATGAAAGGAATTATTCAAGTAAATATTCAGAAACGAACAAGCTATATTCGATATAAAAAGATGTTATTTGCCAATTCGCATGGAAATGCTCAGCCAATCGTTTAGTTGTAATGTTATGCAAAACAATTTTAATTATATTCACAAAATGTTACTGTTACTGTTATGTTACAAATATTCAGTTGCGTAATCAACAAATTTCCACATTAGACCAGTACTTTCGTCGGAACTATTTGTTGTCTATGTCTGAGGAGGCTATTAATACTACTAGATCCGTTTCAAAGTCAAGCTTCGAAATCGGTCGATGAATAACAAATCGTTTTCTATATCTATCTCATGAAAGCAACATTTGAATCAGTATGTCGTTTAGAAACAAAAATCTTGAGTGAGAAGATTCTACAGCAGACAGCGATTCAACTAGATGTTAAAGACAGGTTGAATCGTTGCATTCAACACTTGGCCTAACACACAAACCACCTGTTTGTGGCCTAACAGCAGATAGCAGCAAGATTATGAATTCAGCACTTTCATTCTGTGGTATATCAGAATTAAATGACAATAAGTTGATCATACATGAAATTCAAAACATTTTTGAACACGAGGGCTATATGGTTAGATGAGGGCTCTCTTTAACCCTACCCAGTTTCATGAATAGGTATGTTAATACATAATAATATATTTAGAAAAGAATAATGGTAATTACTATTTTACATGTGTGCCGTATAAATAAAAATATTCAATCTGTTCAGAACCCTGCATTTTGCAATTTTAATTCTAATCGAAAATTATAAAAAGGTTGTTGAACAAGGGTAAAATTTCGTTTAAATAGTGTGGAGCAAAACATGAAAATTATTATATAATAAAGAATACATGGAAGAATTATGTGAGCCTTGAATCTTCCTTTTATTATATTGAGGTAGAGAATCAAAGAATAATGAACAGTAGTAATTACTGTAAAGAATAATCAATATCTTAATTACCCTCAGTTTCATACACGATTTCTTGAAATTACTAAAGTATTATGTATCTGAAAGTCATCTGCGCATTAGTGCGCACGACAATTGAATAATGTGAGAGTAAAATTGAAAATGAATGGTGAAACATCGGACAGCCCAGAATACTCCCCTGCACAACGACAGAATGAGTTTCTATGGATGAGAATGGTCGTTTCTGACCTTTTGAACTCGGCCAAAAAGATAGCTTACCAATCATTTCACTGATGAATTGTGGAAACCAAGATACTTCTGTTTAATGAGCAGATTTATCAAGTCAGACTCTTTACTTTGATCAAGAAAAACAAAGACCAGATATGTGTGTATGATGAGGTCAAATAACGTTGGTATAACCAATTTGCCAGTCTATTTTGACAAGTAAAATTTCTACAATATTTTAATATTTTCAGTAGGCATTATAAACTCTTCCTTATTTCTGAAGGCTAGTATTTGATTAATCTCAATAAGTTATCTTTCTTTTTTTTTCTTTTCTCTGACTATTTCATTCATTTTTTTATTTTTTACATTTCTTTTTTTTGAGGTTTCTCGTTTGTTTACTAAGAATTTAAGTATATACATATTTGTTCTAAATTCGTTCTCTTTTTTCTTTATTCCTTCTTTTAATTTTTTTTCTCCTTTTTTTATTTTTCCCTTCTTTTTCCCGTTTTCTTTCTTTCTGTTTCTCTTATCTTCACATTACATTATATAAACGGATTTACATTCGAAAAATGTAAACTTTCACGGGTTTTCTGGCCGTGGCTAGAAAACCCGGAAAATATCGCCCAGTAAGAAAGTAGTAGATAATGCGTTGGATACAGCAGGAACAAGAACCAGAGCACCAGCTGGGGTATTGTGACCGTTACCAAATCACCTTTGAAAATGTCTACCGCAGCAGTAGACGAAACGTCAGGCATACAAACCTGCAGACCACGGCCAGAAAACCCAGAAAATAGTCTTCATGCCGATTTACATTCGTTTAGATCGTAAAAAATACCCGACATATAAGGTAGCTGATAGTCCTGTTAGGTTTTATTCGAAAATAATTTTGAAAAGATTTGTATTGTTTCTATTGGCTACAAGTTCTTCCAATCTTATTAGTTACGGCATATGTTCACATTCCCGTTCTTTACTTATGATGCACTGTTTCGGACCTTTGGTGTAGTAATGAATATTTCTGGAGTTTTTTCCCAACACCAAAAACTGTTTTTAAAGATTTTTAATCTTTAAAAATCTTTAAAAACAGTTTTAATCTTCCTCTTTGAAGATGATCACTTGGTGATCGAAACACGTGTCGAGGTGTTAAAAATAACGATTTGGTGTTGGGAAAAAACTCCAGTAATATTTCCGTTCTTTGTATAGGTTACCAATATGTTCTTTATTTTCCACACATTCTACAAGTAAATGATCTGAAGTACCAGTTTTTTCACATGAGCAGTTTGAATTTTCAGCTATCCCTATTTTGAATTCATGTTCTGGGTACAATGCATGTCTAGTTCGCATTCTACAGATTGATCTAATGAAAGACCAGATATGTCCCTTGCCTTATTCCCAATATCATCAATTACTTTCAGTAATGCTGTTTGGTTTCATGTTTTTGTCGAAAACCCGACTGCTGAAAGTATTCTGTGCTATCCATAAAATTTTTTATATTTTTTCAATAGACATGAAATTAAAACAATGCTAAGGCAGTTTTCCACCAAACGGACAAAACCGCAACAAAACAGCAAAATCTTGAGTGGTCAAAATAAGAAACATTTTGAAAACTTTGTATCGCGGGCGACTGTTTTTGTCCACAACGAAATGCCCCGTCGTGTTTTTGTAAACTGTGGAAATAGTCGGCGACATTATTACTTTATTTGAGGTGTGAATCTGTGGTGGGTAAAAATTTTGATTATTGGCACTAGGCAGTCTTTTTTTATTGATTTGTTGTATTGTTGTTCATCTCAAACAAGAATGAGATTTAATTTCCCTGTGTAGAAAATGAGCAAAAAAAATAAATGGGCAGTTGAAGAATGCAGCACCCCTACGAACGACAACCCTCAGAAGTCGAAACTTGTGCGAGCTAAGGATTAACGAGGTCTTAACTTTTAACGTATGATTCCTTGACGGAAAAAGACCAACGATTTGGAAACGAAGTATGAGGACTTCGAAAGAAAAAGAAAATATATAAATAGCCCCAGTAGTCCCAGTATATTTAACAAATTCTCAAATTCTTGACATAAAGATGTATTCAATTTGATAGCTTCAATCATATTCTCCGGTAGTAAAAAAACTACACTCACAATTAGAAATAAATAATAAATTGATGGATGTAGCCGTTTTCACGAAAGCTGATAAATCGAATGTCATCGTTATCCTTGAACGAGAAACATTTGTTCAGAAAAATGAGTCATTCAAACATTACTGTCATCAAGAAAGAGTCAAGGAAAAATAGTCAAAATTTACTGAAAATTTTCCTCTCAGATACTAAAATCATTTTCACGGAATCAGAGAAACGGAGAATCATCAACATGAACCCCTCTTGCTCTAAACTATATGACCTGATAAAAACACATAAAGAGGATAACCCCATAAGACCGGTAGTTTAGTATATAAATAGTCCGGTAAGAGAACTAGGAATACGTCTTAACAAAAGTTGTTCAAAAATATTACCGATTTCGTCATACCTCACAGCATTCAAAATTCACTGACTTTAGTGGAAAACATGAGGAATCAAACCACGCCACATAATTCAAGTTTAGTTTCATTTGATGTAAAGAGTATGTTCTCCAACCTACCGTACAAACCAAAGTAGACCATATCACTTCCTTTGAAGTTTCAATTCAAAGGAAGTGATATGTGTGCCTAAATCAGAGCTACCTACAGTTCAACTACAAATTTTATAAACAGGATTCAGGTTTACCAATGGGCTTACCCCTTAGTCCACTTTTAGCAGACATATTTATGAACAGCTGGTAGACTACTATAGTAAATTCCGACCCGGATAAAAAACATATTCATTTTTGGTACAGATATGTAGACGATATTCTCACCTGTTTCAGAGATACTACACAACAGCTGAACCAATTTATGACATTCATGAATAATCTCAATAGCAACATTCAGTTCACACTCGAAACAGAGATAGAGAAACAGATAAATATCTTAGACCTGACCATTACACACAATCAGAATAAATTTGAGTTCAATGTTTTCAGAAAACCTAGCTATACAGACATTACCATCCCAAGCGATTCTTTCCATCCAAACAATCATAAAGTAGCAGCCTACAATTCAATGTTGCACAGAGCATTCTCACTGCCTTTGTCTGCTAACAATCTAGCTAGGGAAATTGATATCATTACACAGATAGGTCATAATAATGGTTTCAACGCAGATACTATCTAGAAGTTAGTCAGAAAACTAAGCCGTAAATTCACTCACAGATTAATATACACACAGGTCAAACAATCAGAAATCAAGAAATGGGTAACTCTAACATATTTTGGAAAAAGAACAGAGATAATTGCGGGTTTCTTCAAAAAAAAAAAAATGTGGAAGTGGCATTCAGACCACATGCCAGGTTATGTGATTTCCTTTTCAATACCAAAGATAAGGTGGACCAGTTGGAGAAATCTGGAGTTTATAAGCTTAACTGTCCGGAGTGTAATAGTGTTTATGTGGGCAACGTGATCGAAATTTTCAAAAACGGTATGCTGAACATGAAAGGTCCTTCTCTCTCTCTCTCTCTCTATTTTAGATGGTCGTTGCTTCCTATCGTCAGGCGCATATGAACAATGCTCCTCCTGTTGCCTAACAGGAGCTTCGTCGGGGGGCGCAGCGGTCTTGCACAAAGCAATGCTGCCACCCATTTTTTTAACTTTTTATAATAAAAAACACTAGTTTTTT